CATACGGCAATGTATCCTTACTTTGCTGGGGTCAGGCTGTTTAACTTGCCATGCAGTTTTGAGAACCACACATTGGGACCCAGTCATGCCCATTGATATGGGTGCGTAATGACCCTCATTTGCAGTGTTAACATGGATGCCCACTCCTATTTTTATGTGTCATGGGTTTGATCATAAACTTCTTATTCACACAGTTTCATCTGTTTGTCATTCCCATTTTGATGCATCTGGAGCTCAGTGGAGTCTTTGAAACCACATCTCACAGGGCAGTGCCATTCTGTAATGCTGTAATGTATCATCCCCCCCCCCCACGCTCAATAGTTGTGCCTTGTGGCTGTATTGGTTTTGGGGGTGGGATGGTCCCTGCCTGCTAGGTAAGGCCACTTAGGCATCACAGCAGGGATTCTAGGAGAAAGACATCAGGTTCACTGGTGTAGACTGTTTGTTTCCCCTAAATAAACATTCTTCTGTAAATTTTGATGTTTTATGGGTAGTTTTTGTACCCAAGCAAGATTAGGTGAACAGTCACATCACATGATATTTCCTGATAATGTTGATCAGTGTCAGAAGTGCCTAGCTTGGGCAGATATGCTTGCTAGCACTGGATGGTGACAGCATGTCCATGATTGTGAATGCACCCTATTGACATTGGGGTTTTTATTGTTTGCAAATTGTCCCCAACATCCTGCCATGTGCTATGTGGTTTTGTGAGGAATATGTTTTCCAATAGTCAACATTTATATGAAGTTGGAAGGGTGAGCCCCTTCCCCTTTCTAAGATAAAACACCCCACAGATTGGAAATGCTTGTACTGTTCATGAAGACATGTGTGATGGTTGGGGACCCAAACAAAGCAAGGCAATGCAGACTGAAGGCTGTGGAGTGCCAAAACCCAAATAACTATCATGCATGTTGAATGGTGACATGTCATCAGTGCTGGCACATGGCTCTTCAGGTGTCTGGCCAGGTCTGGTGGTTTTTCTTAGTTGTGTAGATGGTTAATATGCAGTATTCATATTACTTGTTGTGCCTGTACTGAAGGCTTGTGGTGGATCAGCAATCAGTTTCTGCATGAGTGCAATGTAATGATGTCCAGAGGCATGGCTGTGGAGTGACCTGGGCCATGTGTGTGACACTCCAGTCATGGAGTGCACCGGTCACTCAACAAGGGACAGGTCACTCCGCAGCACATGTCTCTGTTGCAGGCCTGTGTGCCATCACACGTGAACATTGTGTCGTCGCGCCGCTCGTTGGTGACCGCGGTTTCGCGCAAGACGGCGGCCGCCCTGCCCCGCTTGTGAGCTGACCCGCCCCCTCCGCGGCGCGCCGCCATGGACGGCCTGGCCACGGCGTCGCGCTTCGTGCGCAAGTTCGAGTTCAGCAGCGCCGCCGAGCCGGCGGCCGAGGCGCCGCCGCTCGTCATCCGGGCGCTGGTGCCGGAGGTGATGAACCGCAGCTACGGCCTGTACACGTGGCCTTGCGCGCCGGTGCTAGCGCAGTACGTGTTCCACGAGCGGCGTCGGTTCGCCGGCGCGCACGTGCTGGAGCTGGGCGCCGGCACGGCACTGCCCTCGATCGTGGCCGCCAAGCTGGGCGCCGCTGTCGTGGTGACGGACTGCGCGCGCGCGCCGCAGCTGCTGGCCAACTGCGAGCGCGCGCTGGAGCTGAACGGCGTGTCGGCGCGCGCGCTCGGCCTCAGCTGGGGCCTAGTGAGCCCCGAGCTGCTGCAGCTGCCTCCGCTCGACTTCGTGCTCGGCTCGGACGTGTTCTACGACGAGCCGCTGTTCGAGGACGTATTGCGCACGGTGGCGTTTCTGCTGGAGGCCAGCCCGCGCGCCCAGTTCGTGTTCACGTACCAGGAGCGCAGCGCCGACCGTTGCCTGGAGCCGCTGCTGGTCAAGTGGCGGCTGCGCGCGCGCCAGGTGCCGCTGGCCGAGTTCGGCGCCGACGGACCGTCGCTGGCCGGCTCCGACCTGCCCGGCAACCACAGCATCCAGCTGTACGTGGTCACCGTCCGCCAGCCGTAGCCTGCAGCCGGCCGCGGGGAGGAGAGTGCGGCTGCCCCGAACCACCGGTCATCATCAGCTGTGTGCGGCTGCCCCGAACCACCGGTCATCATCAGCTGTGTGCGGCTGCCCCGAGCCACCGGTCATCATCAGCTGTGTGCGGCTGCCCCGAACCATCGGTCATCATCAGCTGTCTGCCACGCCGACAGTGCTGCCCCGAACCACCGGTCATCAGCTGTGTGCGGCTGCCCCACCACCGGTCATCATCAGCTGTGTGCCACACCGACAGTGCTGCCCCGAACCACCGGTCTTCATCAGCTGCGTGCCACGCCGACAGTGCTGCCCCGAACCACCGGTCATCAGCTGTGTGCGGCTGCCCCGAACCACCGGTCATCATCAGCTGTGTGCCACACCGACAGTGCTGCCCCGAACCACCGGTCATCATCAGCTGCGTGCCACGCCGACAGTGCTGCCCCGAACCACCGGTCATCATCAGCTGCGTGCCACGCCGACAGTGCTGCCGCGGTCGGGCGGTCAGCTCAGCCGCGTGCCGCGCGGATGGTTCAGCTGTGCTGTGTCTGCCGTCGGCCTGGACGGGCGCGGGGTCTAGCTGTGCCGCGTGGCGCGTCTAGCGGCACGCGCTGACGGTTGCGCGGGGCCGACTGGGCGGCGAGTGTTACGGGGCGACGTCACATCTGAGACGGCGGAGCTGCGGAGACGGCCGCGCTGGCGTGCCACCTGGTGCCCGGCGGGGCTGTGTGCGCGGTGACGGGGCGTGCAGGGTGGCCCGTCCCAGCAGGGGGCGGGCGCCTCGCAGGCGGTGTGGGTGCCCCGGCGCTCTCGCGTATCAGTGGCGTCCACATCAGCGCGCGGCTGACCTCGTCCCGTTTGACTGGCCCTCGCCAGGTGGCTTTTTGTAGTTGCTCTTTTGTAAACAGCCGTATGCAGCTGACATTGTACGTTGATGACGTGCAGCAGATGAAATGGAAATCTTTGTGAAATTTGTCACGACTAACGCTCCCAGTTTCTTTGATACGGGTTGGTATTTGCTAGCATGCTTAACCATGAGACACCATGTTTTCACGTAACTCTTGCGACAAACAGTTTGCAGACATCTGTGTGCACCAGTATTTTTCTTTAATCCTGGAGATACAGCCCCTTTGTTATTGGACGTCATTGTGCAAGATGATTGCTCACTTATTCTTAAACCGTTGCAAGCTGTAGTGTTGAAACTCTCGCCTGTATGTAGGCCGTCAGCTCCGGCTGAAGTGCAGCACTCGAGACCGTCTGATGCCTGGTCCTGCGGAGATGCTGTTGACTCCCATCGTCCACAGCGCCATTGTCATTTGTAATATATGTGTTCGCACAGGTGCCTTGAAACCCGTGGCTTCAGCTGAAATCTGACCTTTATGATGAGCTGAAACAGCCAGTCACCAACCCGTCTCATGGCAGCGCGGTTTGGAGCGAAAAACACCCGCAATGTTTCCAGTAGATGCTCATAACCTGTGCCTATCATTTTCCAGTGTTAAAACACCCGGTGGCCGGTTGGTGTACCACTACCGCAAGAAGCCTAGGAGGGTCCCGAGATGTGCCGACACGGGCAAGAAGCTTACCGGTGAGACGACTCCGGAGTACGGAGACCGTAGCATGGCGTGACTTGACGTCATAGAGCGGCATGACACGTCTGGCAGTGTGTCGTGAGGCGGTCCAGTTCTTTGCACTACTTCAGTGTGTCCGAGTTTGCTCCTGGAATACGTTCTGTGCCAGTACGTGGTTCATTGAGTCAACGGCGTACGTTTTATCCCTTTTGTAAGCAATTGCTGTCTACAACCGCGAGCCTTTTGGCCGCTTTCTGCTTGATCTTGCGCCGTGGTGTATTCGTCGTGATACATATGACGTGGGCAGTGGTCTAATCCAATGCGTCTAGTTTCGGGGGTTGGTTGGGTAGTTGTCGTTCGTTTCCAACGTGTTGTCGCCGCACGCCGTGACGTCATGATGACGGTGTGACGTCACTCGGCAGGCATCCGGTCGGCGCGTCCCCATGAGAAGCGTCGCATGAAGAAGAAGCACAAGACGGTTAACCGGACGTACGGCGGCGTGCTGTGTCACAGCGCCGTGCGGGAGAGGTGAGCCCGGCCGATGTCGGCCCCCGCGCACGCCTGTGTGGCGCTCACTGGCGCGCGACACGTGGCGGCAAACCCACTGCAGCGATGCAAGATCCGGGGCTATTGAGTCCGGGGTTCTGGCACGCTCCTCTCTATCCGAGTGATGACGTCGATGCGTTCGTGGCGACCAAATGCGGCCAGGTGGTCACATAGCGATTGATGTGTTAATTGGCGGGAGCCGCTAGACGTCCATAACTGGCGGCCTCTGAGCCGGTCGTCTATCTGTGTTGGGCTTGACCGCCGTGTCCGCCGTTGCAGGATCATCCGTGCCTTCCTGGTGGAGGAGCAGAAGATCGTCCGGAAGGTGCTCAAGGCCCAGCAGGCGTCCGCTAAGAAATAAATTACACCTCAGACACTCCTCACGTGGCGTTTTATGTTCGGTTGTGGCGTGGAGAGAAGAACGAAAGTGGACTGAAGAACAGCCTTTTTAATGAGCGTTGAAATTACCACCAGCCAGAGGCGGCTATACACTCAAACGTTGAACCGGTGATACAAGCGTTGCTGATAGATCGTGGCTCGGTGGCTTATGTTCGTTTGGTTACGGAAGCGCGCTGGGAGGGCGGCACCGGCCCCTGGCGTTCGGTATGTGTAGTATGCGGAGTTGAACATGCGCTGCGGGCTATGCTGGGGCGCCGCACAGCTGCTACACAGCACACGGTAAGCTGGGGACGGTCCTGGCTGCGCGCCATGACAGACGGGCTACCGGTCCTTTTCTCATCCGCTCGGAGCCGCTGTCGTCCCCTGCTCCCGCGTTGGCGCGCTGCGAGTCGCGTGTCTCGCGGAGCGGCACCTTTCCTGTACAGTGCTGTCACCTATAACAGGGAGACTCCAGATATGGCAGTGTTCTGTCAACGTCTGCCGACGTGGTTGAAAGACTTCTTTATGTCTGGGAAGACGAAGATCGCTCAGTGTGACGCTTCGTACGTGGGAAATACGCGAATACGACAGTTCCTTTTGGGCGGCATTCCCCATGGTGGGTTCAGCCATTTCGGCAGGGCATGTGAAGAGCACGTCCAGTGATTCCAGAGGATGCGCCGGCAATAATCCGATCTCATGCAAGGCGTTGGACGACCAACTGACGTTTGGTCATGACATATGTCATTCGTGCTGTGTCACGGAGGGCTGTTGGTCTGGAGCGATGGTAGCATGGCCAGTGCAGCTGCGGTTCGATGTTCTGACTGGTGCGGATTCGGCCGCCACCGTCCTCTCCGGCCCCGATCGTATCGGGTGGGAGGCGAACCGAAGACCGAATCAGGTACGAAGCGAGAAATGGCGAGTTGCGAGACTGGTCTGGTCTGAACCATGTCGACAACTGGAAGCCATATTCAGGCTCATCAGAAACGGGTGCAATTTTCCACGTGACACGAATGAGACCTATGGCCTCACAGTGATCATGTTACATGGAGACAATCTAATGCGCGGAAGCCGCAGCCCCTACCGCCGTCTGCCGCTTCACGATAAGTCTGCCCTGGGCAGTCTGAACCAGCCCGCTCAGTCATGGTCCAGTGTGGGCCGCGTTCAGCTGGCAGCCGGGCAGGCGGTGGCCGAATGCAGCAGACGGCACTTTGCCGATTGGGGCCGACTTAATGTAAGCAGGAAGCACCCAGGGATCTTGTTTTTTTCTCGGCAGCGCGAGTTTCGGATATTTTTTTGGCAACAATTGACAAACGTCCCGTTGACAGTTGGCAAATTGGCCACTAATTGCTGATAATGCAGTCGGCTGTTATACACAAAATGTCACATGGGTACACGGTCCCAGGTGGGGAAATCCAACCCGTCGTCATTAAAACTGCAAACCATTCGAGCCTCTAGTGCTGGGCCAGAAAAGATGGCCCCCCAGGGCAGGGTCAGCGGTTGGGGAACAAGTCGGGGAGGTCACAGGTCCAGCGGTCAGTTCCGGCACTGCCGTCTCGCACGGGAGGCGTCGGCAGGACCGCCGCCGTTCCGCCCGCCGCAGGGCTTTCCTGCGAGAATCAATACCGTCTCTGTGTCGGCGCGGTAAATAGAAACCGCGCCGCGCCCAAACTGCGCCGCTGGGCGAGCTTCAGGCCGGACCGGTGCGGCCGAGTCCCGACGGGGCCGTGTTGGCCGGCATCGGCGGGGACAGCAGTGCTGTTAGTTGTGAAAGCACCTCTGGACGGCGCGGCCGGCGGGGCCGAGCGACATCAATGCGTGAGTAACGAGCGACGTCTGGCGGGGACTGCACTGTGGACATCAGCGTCGATGGGTGATGGGACGGCAGCTGAAGATATCTGCTACGCTGGGTGCGATGCTAAGCACCTAAGAAGGCACGTCGTCCGTCGACCACTTTGTTAAGTGTGGGACACGGCGTTGGCGCCCGTGGCGCTGAACAAGCGCCGAACAAAATCTGACTAGTCCGAAGTCGCGAAAGCCGGACCTGCACAAGTCGCCCAGTGACAAAGTGTTTGCCCTTCTAACTGTTCGCTGTCATTCAGGCTGAGGCGATCACTACGCTGAAAGTTCAGAAGAGCGCAAATAAACGTCTGAAAGAAGGCTCAGCGCTGGTGACGAGAATTGTGCAAAGCTGGACTGCGAACGCTGCGTGTTATTCGGCGACGATTTCGGCGCTGTGTTGGGCAGTGTCTGAGCCGGACCAGCCGTCTGAGCCGGACCAGAGCCTGGGTGGTCAGTTGAGCAGACCACACCACGTCAGGACCTGAGCCGCCGCCTGCTCGGTCAGTGTCTGGCCCAACACCGTCCCGTCGTCGACATCTCTGGTCGCGCCCGGCGTCTCGGCCTCCGCTCCTCAGCTGCCGTCAGCGCCTCGGCCTCCGCTCCTCAGCTGCCGTCAGCGCCTCGGCCTCCGCTCCTCAGCTGCCGTCAGCGCCACGGCCTCCGCTCCTCAGCTGCCGTCTGCGCCTCGGCCTCCGCCCCTCAGCTGCCGTCAGCGCCTCGGCGTCCGCTCCTCAGCTGCCCTCAGCGCCTCGGCCTCCGCTTCTCAGTCGTCGTCGGTGCATCGGTCTCCGCCGCTCAGCTGCCGTCAGCTCCTCGGCCTCCGATCCTCAGCTGCCGTCAGCGCGTCGGCCTCCGCTCCTCAGTCGTCGTCAGTACATCGGTCTCCGCCGCTCAGCTGCCGTCAGCTCCTCGGCCTCCGATCCTCAGGTGCCGTCAGCGCGTCGGCCTCCGCTCCTCAGTCGTCGTCAGTACATCGGTCTCCGCCGCTCAGCTGCCGTCAGCTCCTCGGCCTCCGATCCTCAGGTGCCGTCAGCGCCTCGGCCTCCGCTCCTCAGCTGCCGTCAGCGCCTCGGCCTCCGCTCCTCAGTCGTCGTCGGTGCCTCAGCCTCCGCTCCTCAGCTGCTGTCAGCGCCTCAGCCTCCGCCCTTCAGCTGCCGTCAACGCCTCGGCTTCCGCTCCTCAGCTGCCTTCAGCTCCTCGGCCTCCGATCCTCAGCTGCTGTCAGCGCCTCAGCCTCCGCCCCTCAGCTGCGGTCAGCGCCTCGGTCTCCGTTCCTCAGTCGCCATCAGCGCCTCGGCCTTTGTTCCTCAGCTGCGGTCAGCGCCTCGGCCTCTGCTCCTCAGCTGCGGTCAGCTCCTCGGCCTCCGCTCCCCAGTCGTCGTCAGCGCCTCGGCCTTCGCTCCTCAGCTGCGGTCAGCGCCTCGGCCTCCGCTCCCCAGTCGTCATCAGCGCGTCGGCCTCCGATCCTCAGTCGCCGTCAGCGCCGACAGCCAGGTCGTCCATGTAAAGCGACTTCCTCTGGCCGCTTACCTAACCGGACGACCTTGGTCCGTCCCGGCGGCTCCACGCCCTCCGGCCGGCAGCCATGCGCCTGGTGCATCAGCTGTTCCTCACGTGTGACGTGCTGTTCGTACTGTTTGTCGTGCTGTGCGGCCTGCTAGCGCTGGCGGTGTACCTGCGCAGGTCACCACCACCGGCCCCCAGGGACCCCGCCGTCGTGCAGGACGACACCAGCGCCCTTCTGGACGATAGCAACGCAGCAGAGGTGTGACGCCACAGGCTGGGGCGTCATCGATGGCGTCACACCGGCTCGGCTGCGTGGCGAGGTCGGCAGAGGTTGGCTCGCGGTCGATGGCGCCTGTGTTGATTTCGTGTTGTGTGATAAATGGTGAGCATCGTTGTCGGCTCATCGCACCCACTCTCCTACCCTAGTCAGCCTATTCATTTGATAGATGTGCCGTCGGATGTCTGTCGTAAATACGGTGGGGGCGCACATTTTGTGTGACATCACATCGGCTTAACTGGGATGGGGGCGGTAATGGCATGTATCGAATCAGATTAACTCCAAGCTGACCTCGCTGGAGCAGTCGTCGAATAAAGTACTTTGAGCTCGCAGGCATACCGGCTTCCTCAGCGCAGGCAGCTGAAGCATGGAGGAGTCGTAGGCACAAACCGCGGATGGAGTGCTGGGATCGTTGAGGGTTTGTTGGTTTTCCTTCTGTTGTTTTGACCCTGCGCCACTTTAACTAAAAACCGATCGCTCACGGCGGCGATCGCTGCTTTTAACATTACTCAGTGTCTCGAACCGAACACTGGAGGGTAGATGATGGTAGACGACAGGATGAACTAATGGTAGATGATAAAACTGCGGGTCTGGTATCGACCCGTGAGGATCACAAGGAATGGTTGGTTTCATCGTCATTAAGGTTACGCAATCACTTGCTGAGACTGTGAAGTATACGGCGTCGCCCGCCCTGCCCGGGGAGGCGGACACCGCGTGGAACTGAGCTCTGTGCCTCTAGTTTCCCAGACGCGCAGCGTAGCCACGACGCTGTCGAAACCCCACAGCTGGCTTCAGGGATTGCTGTTGCTAGCAATATCCAAACACGTGCTAGCTGTTTGCTCGAAATGATATGATAATAACAATCATCAAACGAAGGGTATGCACATCGTAGTATTGCTGTTGTACGTGCTTGCCTTGCCTACTTGGATGAAAACGCAATTCTCTTTATTCTGTTACAACTGAGGTTTTAAAAATTGCATAAAAGTATAGGATTCTTACAAAAATTATACTCTCATGAGCCTGCAACATAGCGTCGCATCGCATTACGGATTGTAACAATTATGCAAGTTACAATAGTTAGAATGCAACCAGCCAACCAAAGCACATACCCTTGAAAAACAAACTGCTGTAAAAAACAACAACTGAAGTCTGTTGAAAAGATACCTATAGCACGCTTTTAAAAAGGTGCGTGCAAGCAGAGCCCGCACCACCTAGCATGCATCGATCCCAGTGCACGTGAGATATGCAGTGTCTGCTCAACGTAGCTTATACTAAACCCGGTTCACGTCAGATATGCAGTGTCTGCCTAACGTGGCTCATACTAACCCCGGTTCACATCAGATATACAGTGTCTGCTCAATGTAGCTCATGCTAACCCCGGTG